TATATATTTACTTTTTATGTCTCTTTTAAGTAAGTGTGACAGAATGAATCAATCTCTTCTTGTTTGTATTGGTTAGTGTACTTGTATTTCTACTGCCTTGCATAAGGTTCTTTGCTTTTTGATTCATGCGTGCAACCTTATGATTAGCAGAAGTAGTGAATCCAAAGAATCAAATCAGGGTTGTTGTTTTTTTCAGGGTTTTTTTATCATTATTATTATATATGTTTATTTTTATGCTTTTACATTTGCTGTCTGATGTAAGCCAAACTTTAATTTAAGGACATTTGTGTTATTTTAATTGTCCTGAAGCCCATTGACAGATTGATGACCTGTCCGGGGTGTACTCTGATATATCCTCTAATTCTGACTCTAACACAGGTCATTAACACACTGGCATTATACGATACACACACACAGTATAGCTGTGACATGTGAAAAGCTTTATTTATCCTCTTAACATCTACTAGCTTACTGGGGACCTATTAATGGAGGTTTGGAAAGTGGAAATCTCTCTGTGACTCACCACATTTCAGTTCACCAACTTAAAATGGTTTAAGGGTCAACAGTTGCAGCAAGTTACTCAGGGGCCCCTAAACTGTGTGTTGCACACAAGAAAAAGCACAGAAATCAAACCCCAAATGGGTCTATTAAAAAATGCTGACCTCAGATCAAAGGTGGGTAGGCTTAGGTGCATATACCAAGCATTTGGGTTTAGATTGGCCAGGCCCTCTGAGATCTAAGTCATCGTCAGCAAAACTCCCTAACCATAACTGTAACCCTGTGATTGGAATATGTCATTTGTGGTTTTATTATATTATTTCAAAGTCTTGGCAAACAGATAACAAAAAAATAAAAATAAAATAAAATAATTATTATAATCAATACACATCAAAATCTACTCATTATATAGACTGTAGGGTTATTGGGAGGATTAGCACCTGTGACTTAGAGCACCATGTTAGAGTTACAGTTTGACCCTCTTTAGGGTGAAACAAATTCACCTTTTGTCATTTTTTCATGTATAATTTTTGTACAAATGAGAATACTATTGAAATGTACGTGTAAGTATTACTTCAGGATTTTGCTTATGTTGTGGTAGATGGAGTGAGCACTTTTTTTTCTTAAGGACCCGCTTGGTTCATTTCACTCAGCTTGTGAGTAATTCTGATTACTTTTAGCTTTGAGTCATAACATTAAGGTCACGTCATGGGTGTCAGATCAGTGCGTTCTCAGTCCGAAGGACACAGGATGACCAGGCCTTATGGTAGGAGATTTTGTTGGTGTCACCCACTGATTAATTTCAGACACCACGGTCGAATCAAGCACTTCGTCTCTCAGTGACCTATGTGTGTATGTGCTTTTCTTCTTTAAATGATCGCATGGTTGAACTGAAGCAAAGGCAAACTGTTTTCTTTCCATCCACTTCCAAAGTCACCTCCATGCTCACTTTTGCACACATTGTCCAATTCTGTTTGTCCTCGTCTTCCTTTTTTCTATTTGTATGTTTATCTCCTTCCTCCTTCCTTCCTTGCTGCCTCACTCACTTTTTCACACCTCACGCTTTAACTCTTCATAAATCATGCTGATCGCAGCTGGTAGCTCAAGACCGTGTATGCAGACCACAGCCAAGGCTTGAACAGTATACGATATACCTCCTCTCTGTCAGTGGTTGTGAGCAGCACTCCAGTTGATGGGGAGTTTAAGGGCACTCTGAGAACAATAGCACTTCCCCCTGAATCCCAACTGAGCCGGATTAGTAATGTCTCCAGTCTGCCAGATGATCTGAGTTTATCTGTTGTGCAGTGAATGAGCAGGGCAAAGCCATTTCACCTTTTCTACTTCCTTATCTTTGTCTTTCTGTGACTGTGAATAGCAAAAGCAAGGGGATTGTTCTAGAAGCATGTCTAATAGGCCCCTCTTCTTCTCTCTGACCTTAAAACATCTGTCTCTGTGTAATGTCACTCTGTCTCCTATTGCACTGTTCTGAGTAATACAGGCAAGGTTGAGTAGGAACGCACTGATCGGACCCGGTAAGAATAAATTAATAGAACAGTTTTTAACTTTGTCATCTGAAACTGACATTCACATCGCCTGTTTTCACAGTGATTCTTATTAATCACCAAATGGAACTAGAATAGAGTGGATGGCTAAAAGCTTGGTGGTTTATGAGCTGCTTTTCATCCAATGAAGAGGGATGAAATCTAATTCTGAAATTAGGTAAACTGTGAACAAAGATCCATGATTCATGTTCAAAGTGTGGGGCCTTAAGGTTAAAAGAAAATCCACATCGACTAAATTAATCTCACTTGTTAATTGTTTTAAAGCATAAATTATACACTAACATTTTCAATCATTCATATACATTCATTCAGATCAAAGTGTGATGTCATTAACGTTGAATCACTTCAAAGAAGAAGATTCAACAGAAGTCAGCTGATCTGAAGTCAGCAAGCTCCCTGTCCTGAGAAATCTGGGCTTATCATTTTGTTTGTTTTCCTGTCCTGTCGTTTGCTCACTCTTGGTTGGAATGAATCAGAACCGCCAAACAGGTTGACGAGCGCATGTGTGCTGTTTACTGACAACACCTTGCCGGATTTTTGGGGATATTCCTGATGATATTCAGTTTGGAGGATCTCAGCGGGACGTTGTTTTATGGTTTATGAGGATCAGTCCTCCTGTTGTCAGTATTCATGACAGCACTGAATGTTGTCATTAACCAGAAATTAAACCATGGAACTAATTATTTCCAGTACATGCAGCCATGTTCCAGAATGCATCATACTTGTTTTGGCTGCATGTGTGGCCGCTTCCTGGCAGAACTGGGCTCATTAAGAAATAAGGAAGAAGAGTTTCCTTGCATAGAAATGCAGGAAAGAGAAAACAGACATGCATTCGAAAATTGGCTGATTCCGAGTGGACAGCCTCTTATGCATTTTAGTTATCTCTTGCATTGTAATGCTGGTGTCTCTGCACTGGCTCTTTTTTAATATGCTCAACAGATGTGCAGAAAAAGAAAGGTTAAAAAAGTCAATGAAAGTCTTCTAGGCTTTAGGCTTGCTGTCTTTTACTGTGCATTTAATTGTGTGTTTTAATGACCACTTTTTAAGCAAAGTTAGAGGAAAATTTGTTGTCCTTTATGCACCTGAAGCACTTTAGTAATAGGCCAAACTGTCTCCCTGCCCTGTTTATGACAAATCTTTGTGGAGGAGTACGCCAAAACCGACCCTTCTGCTTTGATCAGCCACTTGATAGGAAAGATTACAAGGGCTTTAAAGCTAATGTTGTCTTTAATATTTCAAGAATGTCTGAGTCACTACTGAAAGGAATTGCACAGCACAACACTTTTCAGGCCTTAATAGTTTCCACTTTGGTGAAAATGTGATTTCATGGGCTCTTTCCCACAAGACTCTGTGACCAGCAGCCACCCTGTACTTATTGCTGCACAAATTCGCTCTAGCCACGGTCCAGTGTGGACGTTAGCTATAAAACATCTGGGCACCTCTGTAAAGCATAAACCTGTCACTGGAGGAAAACTATATATGAAACTTCCAAGGTCAAATATAACAGAGTTTTTAAACCAACAGTGTTAATAGAGTCTGTTTAGAATACTTAATATTGGTGTGGTGTGTTTGGGTGTATTACACAGCTCATCTTTAGATTTTAAATCATATGCAGAGAGGTGAGTGTTTCAGGTTATAGTGGATGTGTAAATGTAGCAACACAGACTCACCTTTTCAGGAGAGTCCACATATTTTGAAAGCTGTTCACAGCTTTGGGAAGTCTTGTTTGAAAAGCTTCATTTGAAATTGTTTGTCATCATAACGCACACTAGGTCCCAGGCACCCTGTTTAGGATTAGTGTTACTCGTCTGGCTTGGGTAATGTTTTGTTACCTCCACCAACGAGGTTATTCTTTCTGTCTGTAAATATGATAGGTTTAAAAGCTTTAAATAAATCTTGATAAAATATTGTAGTGTGTGGAGGGGGTTCATGTTAATAATCCATTCAAATTTGGCTTACACCCACCACAGTCTTAAACGGCAACTCGAAGATTTATTGGTCGAAAATTGACAAAAAGCCTATAACTATTCTTACGACTGTGGCGTGTATTGTCGACATAGGTATAAAGATTTTAAATATCATAAATATCATGTTACATTTGACCTCTCCTTCAAGGTCAATAGATTGATCTGAATGTCAAAGTGACAATAACGCTGCATAGAGCTATTTAAAACTCTGTTTCTTACTGTCATTGTTTGTATTGGCAACATATAGACACATAGGGAATCATATCTGGGTATTGTAAATATCACATTAATTTGGACTTCAGACCTCGTCTTCAATGTCAAATAAGGTCCAACTTTCATAAAATGCTAAATTTAAAATACATGGCTGAATATAAAGTTACATACAAAATTTCCAATGTTCACAAGTGCTCAAGGTGTTGCCCTCTGGACACACAGTCTAAGTCTATACAGTGGTCAAGCTCATCCCATAATTTTGTGAGCATGCCTGGTGTTACTGCTGTTCTTATGTTACCTACCATCAACCTCGTGAAACTCACAAACCA